GTGACTTTGGCAAGTTTGAGTCGTGTCAAGAAGTCAGGTAGGATTCAGTACTAGGCAGTAGTGAAACGTGAGTGGCAGTCTTTGCCGGTTTCTGAGGGCATCCTGGATTTGGTGTGCAGCGCTGTGGAAATGGCTTGCTGTGGAGGTCCCAGCACTGGATGTTAATGTTGTATCAAAGGTACGACCTCGTAGCACGTGCTAAACCTAAACAAATTCAAAAATTGACTTGGGTCTGTGGGAGTCCGTGAAAGAACGCCCACTCGTTCCGTTGTGACAGATTCCAGGGCCACGTTGAGGGGCCCTACCCCACCACCCATGGCTGCTTCTGGACTTGTTTTAGGTTTGGGTCCCGCGCACGCACAGAATGGGCACGAAAATGTGAAAAAAATGTAAATGCATTTGTTTGGCTCCTGGGTGGCTCGCACACCGTAGCACTATGCCGGAAATTTGAGTTTTTCCGGCCTGGAAAGCCTGTCAGTGAGGCGCAAGAACTTGTAAATCATGTCCTGAGGGCCAGCATAGTGGCAGGAGTGTGTGGTCAAAATTTCACTCAAATCCACTGAGAAACACCAAAGTTACGGTCAATTGAATGCCATATGAAATTTTTGGGTGATGTGCCCCCTTAAAGCATTGCAGATTGATGTCACAGTATCATAGTGCAGTACACTGCCTGTGCATGTGCACAGCTTAGGGCTGTTGTCGAGTCATACATGTACATGTACATGTACTAACGCACTTAGTGTATTACTATCAAGAGTAGATACTATCAAGAGTAGATAAACAACAGTGTGCAACTCCGGGATGGGTTGGCCCGCTGCGGAATTTTTTGTTGACGTAATCTTTTCGACGATGCACGCGCTGCGAGTCTTTTGGAAAGTTTTGCCTCGTGCACTTGGCCGGGCTTTACATTACAAAGTCGGTGCCCAGCACGTGCTCTCACACTGCTCTGGGGCAAAATGCGCGTTCTTCTGAAAAAGGGTGACGTCAACAAAAAATTCCGCCGCGGGCGGGAGTATCTGCAGATTGTGCAGAAGAAATCCGGAGTTGCACACTCTTGTTTATCTACTCTTGTTGCTATGCACAAGTATCACCGTCTACAAGTCAATGGGCACGTTCGATTACACACAAATCGGTCAATTCTAAAATTAGTTATTGTTGATGCACAGTTCGATTACACAAATTCCGTCGTTAGAATTGATTTTATCCAATTCCGTCAATTCTGAAGAGAGGACGGAATTTCTCTAATTCTGGTGCCAGAATTGCACACTCGGTGTGTTACCGGTCTGGTCATGCATGACTCAAGTCAAGGAAGAGCCTCCCGGGCCGGTGTGGTGCGAAAGCAGGGCTACAACTGCATGTAGTTGCTACTTTTGTCTTCCGGAAAAGCTAATTGCCGCAGTTGAGTTTCCGCTGGGAGCTGATTATTAGACCAGATCATTTTGGGTGATCCTTTTGCACACGCGTTCAGCTTTATCAAAGCCCAATATTGTTGCCGACATGGAGCCTTCGCCGGGATGGACCGGTACGCGAAGCTGGGTCGACGCGTGTGCGCGAGGGTGTACGTGATATCTTTTTACGACCAATTTTGTTTGTGATATGCCATGAATTAAATGCGTTGTGAATTCCAGCCGTTCGTTTACATGGCCGGAATTCGTACATTTTGGTCATTCGAGAATTACAAAACCCAGTTCCAGAATTGTGTAACAGTGTAATCGAAAGTGCCCAATGATATTTTCTTTGGAGCTGAATGAACACGAAGTTGGTTGTTCTAACGAGGAACACACGCTTCTTGCCAAATTTGACACTTCACTGACTCACGACTGCCATCCGGAGCACACGAGGAGCACGTCACACCTTCCACTCGGCAAACCGGCAAGAAAGCACCGCTCCCTGCTCAATACACAGTGTTTCGGGGAATTCACCCCTCATCAGTTGAGCTTGAGTAGGCAAAGGAAGATTGAGCCTGAAAAGCACCACTTATATACTGCTCTCCAGGCCAAATCATCACCAGGGACACAAACTCGCAGAGACGCTTCGTTTCCAGCGGGACAAACACCTCGTGAAGCCCTAGGAGGTGTTTGTCGCGCTGGAAACAAAGCATCTGTAAGTTTGTATCCCTAGTGATGGTTTGGCCTGGAGAGCATTTTTATTAACATAAGGAGGGGAAGGTCCAAGACATCCTAGAGCTGATTGCCAGTTAGGTGTAGAACGTCAGTACCGTTGGTCAGTGTCGTGCTATGCTATCACATGAGCTGATTGTAAAGTAACTGGTGGTGTTAAGTGGATAATTATTATAACTTGTAGCTCTTTGGTCCTCCTTTCTTCTTATGAAGATTTGTTTGGTTCAAATGATTTACATTTATCCTTGGCACGAATCGACTTCAGGCATGTTCATATCCAACCAACCAATCCCCCCCCCCCCCCCGTACCCATGCATTCATTGGGGCAAAGCGCCACAAGCATCTGTCCACCCATACGCAAGTATGATCCAAGTGGAACCAAATTCGTAAGATTACTACTTCGCTGGAGTTGTGATGCACAGCTTGAAACCCTAACGCATTATGAGAAAGAAGGATAACGATAATTTCTCAGAAGCATTTTGATAAATGGAAAATAGATTATTTGGATCACACGAAATGGAGATGCTGTAGGTGATCGCATAGGACAATAGATTGGGTGATTTCTTCTGTGATCTGTCCAAACACCGACGACTGAGTACTATGGGGTATGGACGTTCAAAATACTTCTCTCAGCTGTCTGAGTGTCAAAGAACTTGTCTAGAGCTTCAATTTGACGTGTCACTTTCTGCTATGTTATTGGAGATGGGTGTACTGTTAGCTGTGACAAGTGGAATGGTTTCTGCCTGTTCGCCTGCGCCAGTAACACAGTCATGAGAATTGCTGTGGTGGGTTGCCAGTTCCTGCTGCCGCTTCTCGGACCTGCACTTCCTTAAGTATCCGACAAGGTAGACGAGTGTAAGTGAGAGGTAGGCTGCGGCCGCGATAGTGGAGAGCTTGCGCAATCCTATGGAGGCAGAAAGTACGGGGCCGAGCAGGACGCCAGGCATGTAGAAGAGCGACAAGCCCACCTGGTTGATGGCACCGATGTAGGCACTCACGTCCGCCACTTCGCCCACACCATCGTGACCCAATGTGCGCAGCATATCTTCGGGCACTGCAGTCAGCATCGCTGCTCCCGAAATCGCAGTAGGCACGGTGGAGATGAATACCAATGCAAGAGACGGTTTGAGTGGTAATATCGATGCGGGGCCGTACAGTAGAAAGGAAATTACGGAAAGCGTAAGTCCATACAGGCACATACGCCGTGGACCTATCCACCTCTCAAGCGTGTAGCCGCTCAAAAACGATGCGCTGGCATACCCGGCAGCATACACCATAATGGCAAGCCCACCTTGAGTCGATGACGTTCCAAACGAGTCCTTCATGTACTGAGATATGGTTGACTCCAACACTCCACCCATTGCGACGGCCAGTGCCAGGACCATCAGACTCATCCACACCCATGGGAAACTGAGGATGGCTTTGAACGTTACTGCGTTCTTCTCCGGTTGCTGTGTTTGGCCAGTTGTAGCAGGCCCATCCTTTCCATTCGCAATGAGCAGGATCATATTTACAAAACTTGTTGTGACAAGAAAGGAGGCCATTATGAAGAAAGGTAGGCCAAATCCACCGACATCGTACAAAAATCCACCAAGTGCTGGACCGGCCATGTAACCAAATCCGTTCAGGCCGCGTATAACGCCATTCACCTGTCCGCTTGATTCTGGAAACGTCGTCACAAACAGGGCATATGCCGATGTGAAGTTTGCGCCGCTCCCAATGCCCTGCACAATGCGTATGGATATTGCTAACGTGATAAATGCACTCCATGACTTTATCTTGTTGATGAATCCAAACAGAAGCAACGCCCCACTCACCATGAGTGAGCTTAAAACTAGAACATTCTTTGCTCCTACATATTGCAGATCAGCTGCCACTAGGGGAGCAACTATAGCCTCCACGACGGGTGTTACGGCAAATACAACTCCCACCACGAGGTGACGGCCAATTCCTCGAGTGGGGAAAATTTTCAGGACTTCCTCAGTCAAGAACGGGAGCAGGATGGCCATGCACAAGGCCACAGAGGCGATATTGGCGATAACACACGCACCCAGCAATGCTTTCTTCCGCTTTGACAATACTATGTTGGTTTGTGCACCTTGGGCTTGGGCCTGGCTGGAGTTGGTCCCGTGCTCACCAGCAGCGGTAGTCCGCTTTTCCGCCTGCGAGTTCGTTCTAGTTCTATCTTCCGCCGCCACGTGTTCTACATCTCTGCCTTCACGCTTTCTCCGGTCGCCTGCCGGAAGCATATTGGTGCCAGCAGTAGCACTGCTCTGTGCACCAGCGCGTGAATTCGGGTTTGAGCTCCGCGCGGGAGTAATCCGGCAATTACGGTAAAGAGCCAGGCTACTCCACAACGGCGGAACGATGGGCTCATTCTCTCTATCCTCCATTGCATGATCTAGTGAACACCTGGTATGCACGGGTCTGTACTGGTCTGTACTGCGACACACTTGGCGCAGCTTTACTTTGCTTCAGAAGTACTGCACAGCCTACACAGTCAGTAGCCCTTCTTTGTCACTCACTGTGACTCAGGCAAAAGAGGACTGAGTGAGACACTGTTGTACGCGCAGTTTTAGTGAACAGCGTGCATACCGGCAGTAGTGAGAGTACACTAGAGTAGAGTTGATAGAGAGGGAGTCGTCAAACATCTACTCTAGACTGTATACAGTAGATCTACTAGTAGTCATTGTACTGGTAGATCTACATGCTAGCACATGGCGAGTTTTTACCTGGTGACACAGTTCTGTGTTGAAGAGGATAGTCAGCCGCGCAAGTGCCATGTAGATCTACAGTCGACTATAACGAACACCATTGTGCAGGAGTTCTTTATAGCCAAAGTTCGTTATAACAGAAATGCACTCACACCGTACTACAGTCAACTTCGCTAATAACGTCTGCGGATATAACGACAATTCGCGAATAACGACAGAATTTCCATGCCCAGAGCAAAGTCCCATCCCACTGTAATACAATCCCATAATGACTCCGGGTACAGTATAACGACACTTCGCGAATAAGGACACCTTTTTGATGCCCCGCAGAGTGTCGTTATAAGCGAAGTTGACTGTACTGTCGTGGACATGGAAATCCGGTCGCACGTCTAGTGGCCCCAGGGCGCTGGCCATGCAGCCGTGGATAATACGTATGCATTTATGCGATAATACGTATGCATTTATGCGCTGCAGCGCGCTGGTCGTATGATCATAATCAGCAAGACTAGTGCACTGCACGCAGCGTTCTGAACGCGCTGAGGGCGCCGGCCCCGGTCAATCGACTGGATTTCCATGTCCGCTACACTACATGGTCCATGACAGTATGAATGCAGTATGAATGCACTTCGTTTACATGTGAACATACACGATTTGGTTCGTTATAAACGAAAGCTGTTCGCTGTAGAGGGTCAATTTTGTACAGGTTCAAACAGGAACATGAACAACAGTTGGCTATATCACGAAATTTGCTATATGCGAGTTCATGGAGTCGACTGTATGAATAAGGGCGCGTTCGAATTGTCTTCATCATCTGCATATGCAGAATGTGAAAGTATAACGTGGGTGTGCAAACATGCAGTGCGTGGTACCTAAAAGGTCATGTGTAGTGCTACACGTTACGTATAATGTAGGTAGTGATGTCAGAGAGACGCTACACCCCACTACAATGTACATGTAGATGGGGATTTTTTATGCAAAATGTCACTAAAACTAAAAGCGCCATTTCGATCTTATAAAAGCATGGATGACCGCGATTGGCCCATAATATGGGCCATATGTTTTGGACGCTGAGTCGATTGGTTTTGGTACGAAAAGGCTGCGATGCAGCGTTCCTCCCTTACTCCCAATCGAACATGGTTGAACAATCGGTCACGTGCTCCTCCGTACACCAGTCACCTGGTCAGTGGTCACCGTGCCTGCAGGGTACAACTTGCTAGCCTGTTTGACCTTTTTTGGGTGCAGTCCTGTCACTCGAGTTGAACCTTGGTGTGGAAGTTGTCGCCTGCTGGCGCTATGAGTATGACCAGGTGATTTGGGCACCCAGGAGGAGCACGTGACCGCTTGTTCAACTATGTTCGATTGGGAATAAAGGAGGAACGCTGCATCGCAGCCTTTTCGGACCAAAACCAGTCGACTCAGCGTCCAAAAGACTACAACATATGGGCCAATCGCGGTCATCCGTGCTTTTATAAGAACGAAATGGGGCTTTTAGTGACATTTTGCACACAAATCCCCATCTAGTAGGGCGCAGTCACCCAGTTGCGGTGGAAGTGCGCGAGTTCGATTGGGATTCAAGTAGGAAGGGAGCGTCTCAGCTTTCTCGTACTACGACCATTCGACTCAGCACCCCGAAGGCTACAACTGGTGAAATTTTGATTTTTGCCTTAACTTCCCCTTTAATTCTGAAGTGCACAGTCCAGCAGAGAACGTGATGGGAAGACAGAACCAAGAGGAAGACCAGATGATACAGCGGGGAGACGACTTGGTTGTGCCATTGCTGTGTGAGCTAGGGCTTGTGGCGGGGATAATGATGTTTTACCAGACATACAGTACAATTACGTCATGCACATCTTAATGTGCATGACGTAATTGTACTGTATGAAACATCACTCACGTAATGATTATGTGCTGTTTAAAAACACGACAATGGTGCGTAGACTTATGATCCACAGTGTAATGGGTTCAGTGGGCACATTGTTTGTGAGAAGCTTAAGATAAACTCAGTCCACAGCAGGCTATAAGGCACTAGAGAGCGAGCTGCAAAGCACAGGGAATGGCCACATCCAGCATGGATACGAAAATAGCAGTGCGCATGGCGTGCTTGTAGTGTCGAATTTCGTACATGAGCACCAGGCGAATCAGCGTCAGCAAATTGCTGAAGACATCGCTTCTCCTTCCCCGCAGATTTCTGCAGGATACTGTCGTGCGGGCGTTGGTCCTGGAGCGCCGCTCTCTTGCCACTTCGCGAAACTCACAAGTCCGAAAATGCAGTTTGGATTTGAAGAACTTGGTAGCTGAAGCCTGTGCATACGTGTTAAGAAACTCCAGAAGAAGCCAGGTTTTAGAGCTTTTTGATTTCGGTTTGAATGCTGTGTTGAACTGGCGTAGTGCACTGTTGAAACTTGATTTGAGCACTTTTCGTGCTACACCAACCAGGACGTCAATGCAGGGATCATCCACATCCCAGCGCCCTGGCCCCTCATACAGCTCAACTGCCTGCTGTAAATCTGGCTGCCAACATGGTATTGGGTTGCTTGAAGCTTGGAGGTCCAAGAAACGCTGACCCGGTCTGGATACAAGTGTAACAACTGTCTTGGCAATGATTAGCTGGGCTAGATCACCAGACTTTGTGCTGAAGAACCCACCACTGGAAAACCCGTTGTCACATGTCCGTGTGCTGTTCGGCACATGTTGTGGCACGCTGAGACGGCAGTTCTGAACGGCTTCCACGGATAGCTGCATGATTTCCCTGGCAGTACATGGTGGAAATACGACTGGTTGATTGCCGTTCTCCTGATAGAAGGTTATGTACAGTCTAGCAAAGTACATGAGCCCTGAAAGACAGTAGATAGTTTTCACGGTGCCCGCTTTGTCACTGCTTACGCACCATTTAGCTTCGAGTTGTACCTTCTGCTGTGTAGCGCAGAACACAAGCTCGGAGAGATCTTTGCGGCTGCATTTGTCGTCTTTGCTGGGCGACTTTCTATACGGATAACTGCACACAATGCTGAGAAATTCTTCACTTGTGTAGTTCGTAGTACTACTGGTAGCCTTGTTTGCAAGTGAGTCTAGGCAAAGTGCATACAAATATACCAGTTGCATTATTTTCTTGGAGGAGAACATTGATCGCGAACACTGACTACCACTACCTGAACTTGCAGGCCACATCATTCAAGGCGTCTAGCACTAGGACTACAAGAATTGCCCGTTTGTTCTGCGATAGCCAATGAAATCGACAAGAATAATCGCTTTGGCAGGTAAGAACCTTTTGCACGTTCCGAGCGCTTATCCGCACAGCAAGAATCGCTTATCCGCACAGGAAGAATCGGCTTATCCGCACAGGAAGAATCGCGAACAAAGCTGCCCGCAAGAAAAGCCAAGTGGCTGAGGCAAGTAAGTTGAACTTAATGATGAATTCTTTCGTCCACATTGGTACATATGCCTGACCAATCAGTAGTAACCATGTGCAGACGAGTACTAGTACGACATAGACCTACGTGATCGTTCAGGATTGGATGAGGCTTGTCACGTAGCGCACCGGCTCTCAGAAGTCACGGTGGTGTTATGTATGGAAACTTTCGTGTTCTTTCTATTTTACAAACCGGAAGCCCAACCTACTGTTGTCGTTTTACAGGGTGCCCAGCTTAGCCATCCACCTTCAGGCTGCAGATTACAAAGCACAAGCGATGTTTTAGAATGTACATGTACTCAGAATATTTGGTTGCATGTAGTCTTGATACATTATTCTACATTTTACACACAGAATTATCAGAGAACATCACGTGTCCGGCACGAAGATACACGTACAGTCATGCAGCTTTGTTCTGGCATGACCATTGAGCAGTCTCCAGAGCCGGAAGAGTCTTATTGTTCGTGCAGTATTCTACATTTACATTGTGGATCAAATTGCGTAAGCAGAGTCACCCAGCGAACGAAGAAGTGGAGCACATACATGTACATGTATGTACATGTACGCATACACAAGGCAGAGCAAAAGACCGTCTGATGAGGTTTTTTGGTCTCTGTTGTTCTGCCTTGTGTAGTACGGTCCGCCCTTGTTAGAGTATTTAGCACTATTTGCAGCAAGGACTTCAGACACTTTGTACATACATACATACAGTAGAAGCAGAGGACATTTTAAAATGATTACAACTCTGAATTTCCGCTCTGGGCGATCGGGTCCCCACTCTAAGAACACCAGTTACCTTGGCCCAGACAGAGCGTGAAGCTGAGTGTTTTTCAGTGATTTTTCACGGATCGATAACATTGTAATTAGTGCATTTCTGAAGCATATGTTAAGTACAGAATACAATCCTATGTTCAATCATGAAGGATTAGAACGCAACACAAAAAGAAAGAAAACGATTTTGCGTTTATTGCCCAGTTCTCGTGTAATATATCGAGTTTCACCATCACAGCTTCTATTGTGTATTACCACTTAGTACCAGTATTTGTTTTCATTACATTTTCGAGCATTGCATTCATTGTGTTATTTTACCGTACAAGAGGCTTTCATTTTATGCAAGAAAATAATCAAGTAAAAAATAAAGAGGTGCATTTCTCGCCGGCCGAGCGCAGCGAGATAGGCGAGAAATGATTTCTCGCGAAACATTTTAAGTTGCAAATATGGCATATGTGTGTTCTTTATTGTCGCTTCTATTCCTGACTTCCTCTGTTAGTTTTTAGTCTCACCAGTGTCCCTACCCTTCCACCCTTCATTTCTGTGCATATTATCATTGCTCTTTTATCACGTTTTGCCGTGATGTGCTTGCCATGCCTACATGAATCATGATGC